TCTCATGAGCCTACAGGGTCTTGATTGGCCCTCAGTTTAAAATAGTGCATATGCCAAAGTGGCACACGTCGGGGAGGCCTGTTCTGAACCCTCAAACCTCCATAAAATGCATAAACTATGGGGTCCTCTGGGTTGGTGAATGCATCCAAGTGCTAGGAGGGTGGCGTACCCCAACCCCACAGGGACAGACGCTCTCGTCTTCAGAACCCTTCTGGGTTTCTTCATTCGCATCCCTTGTAATACCCTCTATAATGAACTGGTAGATAGAAATGTTTCCTTGAGTTCTGTGAGTCATTCTAGCAAATTATCAACCCCCAGGAGAAGGTCTTGGGAATCCCTGGTTTCTATTATAGCTGGTTGGTCAGACGTATGGAAGGCCTGGCCGTACCATGGGCATCGGAAGTGGGGGGCCGTCTTGTGGGTCCTGATGCTAACACCAGCTGGATAGTGTCAGAACTGATTTGTACTATAGGACACCCAGCTGGTGTAGGAGAACTGGGCCCTGTGGGTAGTGTTGGTTTAAACAGTAGAAAGAAACACAAAGGTTTCCTTTCACTCTGTAACCACAAAGGAAAAGGGTGTCTCAGCCTGGACTTTCAGGAGGAGAAGGAAAATAAGTATTTTTTCCCTGAGAATTCTAACAGCCTTATTGCATCACCATCACTGGGGACGAGACTCCCTGCCTTCCATGCTTAAAAACCCTAGGGAATACTGGTCCTTTTTCCTCTGTCTGCTGAGGTCCCAGGTCCCCTTGAAAACCCCCAGTTCATTGAGGGACAGTCCTTGTCCCTTGTCCTTTACAGTGTGAACAAAAATGGGGGCCTATGCCATGAACCTGACAAGCTCAGGGGGAACCCATGGCAGGCAGGCCTGCCAAGCTCAGTGACCAAAAGTAACCACACAGGAGGGTCTGATCATAAATTGCTAGCTGGGCAAGCCACAGCAGGCAGTCTACTCCCAGGCCTCCAGCTGCCGTAGGCAAAGCCAGTCTTCACCGCCAGTGAGCCCTGTCCTGTTCTTATGCATCCAGGATAACACAGCTTCGAGATGTCACAGGAATTTTCTTTTCTAGACCCTTCGCTGGCACAACCGCAGGCCCCAGAGCACAAGATCATCACAGCCGGAGACCACAGAACCCTTCCTTGTTATCTTGTTCCCCAAATGCCAGTTCCATATACTGTAAATGTTAATTATTAACCCTCCTGTACCCACCAATGTAAAAAGGTGTGTTTCTCCATTTTTGCTTTTTATTCAATCCTACTGATTTCCCTGCTATGCTTTCTCCCACCTCGTGATGCATTTTATGTATCTTCCTGGGGTTTTTTTTTCTTTGATTCTAAGTGCAGAAAAGAAAGTGGCAAACTCCATTCACAGAAGCATTTTCTCAATCTGTTGCAATTTCGCTTCTGGGCATGTCTTCAAAATGAAGTGTCAAATAAACTCTTACAAAATTTTTCTATAGGCTATACTTTCTTTGGTCAACAATAGCCATACCGGAAGTTCCTGAAGGGTCTCTTTTGCCTGGGTGAGGCTGTGGGTTCCTCCCTCAGTCTGATGCCACCTATGTTATTGGACACTGAATATTCTCCCTCTTCTGCTCTCCTGATGGTCTAGGCCAGGGGTGGGCAAACGTTTTGACTCGAGGGCCACAATGGGTTCTTAAACTGGACCGGAGGGCCGGAACAAAAGCATGGATGGAGTGTTTGTGTGAACTAATATAAATTCAAAGTAAACATCATTACATAAAAGGGTACGGTCTTTTTTTTTCCCCCGGTCCGCGGGCCGTAGTTTGCCCACGGCTGGTCTAGGCTCTCCTGTGATCCGAGGGAGTTTATTCTTAGTTTCATATTCCTTCTGCCATTTCACAGGGATTTGGGGAATAAGAGGAGGTAAGTTTATTATTTCCGTGAGCTTTCAGAAACTGTGATTAGCCCAGCCAGAGTGGCTCAGTGGACGGAGCATCCTCCCGTGCACCAAGAGGTTGCTGGTTCAATTCTGGTCAGGGCACATGTCCGGGTTGCAGGTCCCAGGATCCCCAGGAGGGACGTGTAGAAACATGGGATGTTTCTTTCTCATCAATGTTTCTATCTCTCCCTTTCCCTTCCTCTGTCTCTCAAAATCAAGAAAAACATATTTAAAAAAACAAAAACAAAAAAACCTGTGGTTATTAGCTGGTTTTGAAAAAAGAAATAGATGTCTGTTTCACAACTCACACAGTTGACCTCTGATCTGATAATATTATCACTTCTTCACAGATGCACTCCTACCCTCAAAATATGCCCTGGGGACTCTCATTGCCAGTGGGCCCTCACTGCCTCCCACCTCCATGTCCCAGCCAGGAGCATGCCAAAGCCTCCCAAGCCCCTGGGGTTACCCCGGGAGGCCAGGGAGCTAGCATTAAGTGGGGGTTCTAACTCCATTGATATGAGTAGTTGGGACAGGTGTGAGAGAACCCCTGAAAACATTCTCCATCATCTAGCTTTGCTGATTTTGTTTTTAAGATCCTTGTATCAGATAGGCTCCTTGCCCTTGATCTCCATAGATTCAACCAGTTCTTTTAGACTGAGGTGTGATACTGTGATATAAGAAGAAATATAGATTTGGTCTTCAACCCTAGTTCCTAGCAAAGAAGTCCTAAAACCCTTGGAATTTCCTGAGTGGTCAGGGTGAGAGGCATCTATTGTTATTTGTAACAAGCTCCTTTCAACCCTACCAGAGTTTATGCTAATGAGGTGACTCTTGGAAGAAGGGGGTTTGCAGCTAAGGAGACCAATCCTGGGATTAGAGGGTTGGAGCTTTCACTCCATCCCTGACCCCCAAGGAGGGGACTAGGGCTGAGGATTGCTTTAAACACCAATGGCCAAATGATTGAATCAATAATGGAATATCCGAAAAAATTCTAAATAAATAAAGGGGTTCTGAGAGCTTCTGGGTCAGTGAACACATCCAGGAGCCAGGAGGGTGGTACACCCCAATTCTATGGAGACAGGAGCTCCTGACCCTTCCAGACCTCATCCTGTGTACCTCTTCATCAGGTAGCCAAATCAGACAGAGGTGTGGGTTACCTGAGGGCCAGACTTGTAAACAGTGTTTGACCGGGGGAGGGGGAGGGGGCGGTCTCATGGGCCTGAGCCCTTCATCTGTGAGGTCCCTGCTAACTCCAGATAGTGTCAGAATTGGTTATGTGAGGAGGGAAAACCTCACACGCAAGCTGTTAGAAGTGTTGTGGGTAGGGAAATTGTTTTCTTTATGAGGTTACTTAGATGGCAAGAAAAAAAACCTCAAATATTTGTCAAAAGAATTTAAGAACAGCACTCCCCACACCCGATTTCTATGTGTTTTTAACAGAAAGCATAGAAAGAAAAAGAAAGCTACATATTCACTAGGCTCCATAAGCAGGTTGGTCTGATGCCAGAACCCATTCAAGTTGGATTGGCCTTGAGTAGTACTCTCAAGTTGATTTATAACCCAAGTCTCTTTACTATTCAAGGCAACACACAGCCCTAAGCCCAGGCATCAAAACAGCAACCAACAAATTAGTATTATCCTTGCAAAACTCAATCAAACATCTGTACCCAAAGGCTGACACACAAAAGCACTGCAGTGCACTCCAGGAGGCATAAATTATAAAACTGGATTCACATATTTAAATGGAATGTGACCATTTTATGAAAAATATCTGCCACATACCCTTTTACTGGCATATTTAATTTTGTATTTTAGTTGAACATGCTTGTTAAACATTACGTGTCACAAAGTTTATATCTGTGAAAGCCTTCAATTGTGGATTTTTTTTTTACAACTCTCATAACAATCTGAGAAATGAAAGGAGAGATAACAAAGAAAAATGCATTGGAATCTGAGAAAAGTAGAAATAGAATAAGGTTCTTGACTTCCCGGGGGGGAAAAAGATTTAGACACTGACTTTTTTTTCTCTAAGTGCTCCTAAAATTAATATGTAAAAAATGTTTGTTAAAATTTAGCACTGACAATTAGAACAATCATTAGAGGGGAAAAAGTAAAGAGCATGGATTTATAGACACAGAAACAGGCCTGGGAGGGCCATCAGCAGGAACAATGAACTGCTCATGGTTTCCTCGGCCCAGATGCACTGCCCACTTTCTCCTGTAGCTTGAGTACTGCCTCCATCTAGACCAGCGATTCTCAACCTGTGGGTCGCGACCCCTTTGGGGGTCGAACGACCCTTTCACAGGGGTCGCCTAAGACCATTGGAAAACACATATATAATTACATATTGTTTTTGTGATTAATCACTATGCTTTAATTATGTTCAATTTGTAACAATGAAAAGACATCCTGCATGTCAGATATTTACATTACGATTCATAACAGTAGCAAAATTACAGTTATGAAGTAGCAACGAAAATAATTTTATGGTTGGGGGTCACCACAACATGAGGAACTGTATTAAAGGGTTGCAGCATTAGGAAGGTTGAGAACCACTGATCTAGACCTTTCCAAAAACCTCAGCCTTCTCCTTGCTCCCAACCCTCATCCCACTATATGGTGAACACATTTCTATCCTGGCATCTATAACACTTTATTAAACTGTTGTTTACAACACCATCATGTTCATCAGACATAAGTTCCTTGGGGGCTAGGACAGAGTCAATGTCTGAGTCTTCTACCACATTGTAGTTACTCAATGTTTGTTGAATGGCTCAATATAGAGCCAACTTTTGCGCATTTGAAACTATTAGAGACGAGTAAGAGAGTTCATATGAGCAAGGCTATGAATGAGTAAATGATGGTATAAGTTATTTGTTGCAAGGAGGCCAGGAGCATGTGTAAGTTACTAGTGCATTTCTGAAAAAGCCACCCTTCCATCTTTTTTTTTTTGCTAAGTTTAGAAATCAATGGATGATGCAGGAGGATGGATTGGTAGACAATGTTAAGGCGTCTTCCATCTCCAACGCTCCAAGTTTAGAGAATAATTTTAAGAGACACTTGGACTGATTGTCCCTGAAACCATATTTCACCTGCAGAAGCTCCATGTCTTCAGGGTTCTCAGAGCCTGGAATATTCTCCATCAGGATGGCGGACATCACTTTCACATTCATCTTCACCATGTCCAGCTCACTGTGCAACTTGCCAATCTGTTGAGAGCAACACAGTCACCGGTCAGTATGTGGGACCCCTTGTTTCCTTCTCTCAGGGGACCCTTGTTGGGAGGAAAAATGCTTTTGTAAAATTTAATATTGTCAAATCTCTATTTCAATTAATATAGATACATTTACACATTTTGCAAGTGTGTTTTCTGTCACCTATAAGGACTTAAAGATCGCTTGTAATAAATCCAAAAATATTTCCCAGGAGTGTTAAAAATGAAGGGGGAAAATCAGATTAGGAACAATATGGAGAAGGGGAAGGTGACTATACCAGGGACCTGGACAAAATGGAAAATGTTAGCATGGGTTTCTTGGCAACTGATGGAAAAAAGGGGGGGGGAAAGGTGGTACAGTTCTCATGGTATTAGGGAAGGAAGAATCAAGAAATACTTTATTTTCTCTTCCTGGATTAAATTCTAAGAGAAATTAACTGCACGAATTTTTTTAAAGGGTAGTGTTATTTATTTGTGTTTATTTCTTTATTTTTAAATCCTCACCTGAGGATATTTTTCTCATTGATTTCTGGAAGGGAGGGGGAAAGACAGAAAGAGAGAAACGTCAATGTGAGAGAGACACATTGATTGGTTGCCTCGTGCTTGCACCCCAACCAGGGCCAGGGATTGAGCCTGCAACCAAGGTACATGCCCTTGACCAGAGTTGAACCAGGACCTTTCATTCGCTCTAGCCACTGAGCAAAATTGGCTAGGGCTCCATAAATTTTTATGTAATGCTGAATAATACTACTACAAAGCCTTCAATAATAGTTCCCTTAAAGCAACACAGAAAAGAGCTTCATACGGGGTGGGGCAAAAGTAGATTTGCAGTTGTGAGTTTCTTATATTATTATTTATTAATTATTGTATTATTTTCTATAACAACAACTGTAAATCTACTTTTGCCCCATCCTGTATAATAACTGCTCATCTGGACTTCTGATAAACAGATACAGAGACAAACAAGTAAGTGTAATTCAGTTAACACAATAAATACTCCTAATAAGACTACCATGTGCTGAGGTTTCTGAAATGGTGTTTGGACAGTCCTAATCAAAACCAATAACAATCAGCTAGTTGGCACCAGGTCCATTTCACAGCCCAACCTCCACAAAGACACAAAAGCCACTAGCCAAGCAGAACTGTTCAGAGCTTGGACTTTAGGGTCAGACAGAATCCGTGGGCTTAGAATTGACCCATGATAAGTCACACAGTATCATTAAGCTCCAGCCCCCTCCCCTACAGAATGAGGGTAATAATAATGTGCCCCCACCTCATAACAGTGTGAAAAAGAATAAACAAAATGTATACCAACTGCTCAGAACTTAGAAAAAGTCATCAATACATTCAGTTGTTGCTTCTGTTACCTGTTCTGGGACCAATGTAATAGTCGAATTCTTGGGAGCAATTACGGAAGAAAGAGCTGGTGCAGTAGGAACAGATGTGGGTGGATTTGATGAGACTTGAGCAGTCTGTCAAGATGAAATACGGAAAGATTATTATTTAACATTTATGACCATAAACAACCCAAGCTCAGTTATTTTTTCTTCCATTCAGATGACTCCATCACTTTCTCTCAGCCAAAATCCAAGTTTAGAGGGTGTTAGCCCAGAGTCAATCATAAAATGTTGAATCTGCCCACATTTTGCCCACATTTAAGCAAATGGCATAATAGAGTAAGTAGAAGGTGGCTATTATGATTAACTGAATTAAAATTGCCGAAACCGGTTTGGCTCAGTGGATGGAGCGTCGGCCTGAGGACTGAGGGGTCCCGGGTTCGATTCCGGTCAGGGGCATGTGCCTGGGTTGCGGGCATATCCCCAGTGGGAGATGTGCAGGAGGCAGCTGATCGATGTTTCTCTCTCATCGATGTTTCTAACTCTCTATCTCTCTCCCTTCCTCTCTGTAAAAAATCAATAAAATATATTTAAAAAAAAATAAAAATAAAAAATAATAAAATTTAATAAAATGCCCTTAGATTTTTTATCAATGGTCTACAAGACAAACTGCCCTGTGAGATTGCTGCTGTCCTCTTTCGGGTCGTTACAAACAAAGGGTAAATCAATTCGTGTCGAGTCTTTTGAAGCCACAGCTGGCGAGGCATCTCCTTCTCCACCAATGGACCTCTCTGAATCCATGCTCCACTCCCAACCCCGGGTGGAGAGCCCACGTTCAGGGCTTGAGGCCAGTGCTTCTCAACAGGAATGTGCAGAGAAGTCACCTGGAAACCTTGCAAAAATGAGCCTCTGATTTAGTCGAGGATAAACTAAAGATGATACCCCAAATCACACTTGGGGTAAGTAGCAAGGTTCTAGGCCATGACCACACTGTGCGTGGAAGAGAACAAAAGGGGTCTGATGAGCGGGCTCATGGGCAGGTGAAAGAATGGGGCGAAAGGCCAATGGCCACGCAAGGAGAAGAGCTGGTCCTCCGGACAAAGCCTCCTTGAAGATAAGACTTGTGGTATTGCTTATTCCACCAAGATAAGACTCGCCAGTCTAAGGAAGGCCAGGAATGCTGTTTCTGCATTGTAGAAATCACGGAAAGTTAGGTGAATTTAATCAGCCACTCAAACTGTTATAGTTCAACACTTTGGAAATTATTTGCAAACTTGAGAATACATGTGAATATCTAGAAACTCTCTCATGGACACAGTATCAATAATAAACAATAGACATATTATAAAGCTACCCAAGGTAAAGACCATTGTCTATAGCACCAAGACCTTTTGTTTGAAAGCTGCCCTCTCCTCTACTATAGCCAAATGATTCCTGTTTGGAGCCAACGTATCATATTTTTACATGAACTCAGTTGAGTTGTGCAGAAATCGAAAACTGGCCCGGAGTGGTTCACGGAGCCTCCTTCTCCCAGTTTTTGTGTGTTTCTTTAAAAAACTTGGAATCTGAAAAATGCTAAAGCAATCACATGGAAAACTGGGAGCTATGTTATCTGCTATGTGGAAGGAGCTGTTCTGCAATGAGAGAGAGGAATGAAGCTGGTGATCAGAGGAACATCTAGAGCAGCCGTGGGCAAACTACGGCCCGTGGGCCTTGAAATGAATAAAACTAAAAAAAAAAAAAAAGACCGTACCCTTTTATGTAATGATGTTTACTTTGAATTTATATTAGTTCACACAAACACTCCATCCATGCTTTTGTTCCGGCCCTCCGGTCCAGTTTAAGAACCCATTGCGGCCCTCGAGTCAAAAAGTTTGCCCACCCCTGATCTAGAAGCAGACAAGAAACAAGGCATTTGAGAGCCTGGTCCCTGGTTGTTCAAAAGATCCAGCTAACACCAACCTGTTGTGGCTTCATTATTCTAGGACATGCTGCAATATCCTCCTAATATAGTCATCTTCTTGCTTAACCTGAATAGAGCTGAGATTGTCCCTCTCAGTGAGAAAAAATCCATGTCACATACTAACTTACTCTGCGTGAGTCAAAGAAAAGACCTCCTACCTCTTGTTCTGCTGCGTCCGCCTCTGCCTCTGAGGGAGGAAAGTGAACACCTTTCTTAAGCAGGTCAAGGTACACGTCCTTCACCTCACTTACATCCACACCTCCTGGGAAACCCTGAGACCAAGTCTGAAAACAACAGCAAACACAAAACACAATTCTTAAGCTGGCGACCGAAAATGAGAGATTGACAATTAAGGGCTTTACTCAGAAAGAGAAAGCTACTTTTGAAGGCCAAGGACAAACTGTACATTTTCAGAGACTAGAATAATAATATAAAATATGTGTAAGCCTGGCCAGCATGGCTCAGTGGTTGAGTGTTGACCAGGAGTATGAACCAGGAGGTCACGGTTCGATTCCCAGTCAGGGCACACGCCTGAGTTGCAGACTCGATCTCCAGTGTGGGTGGGCTGTGCAGGAGGCAGCCGATCAATGATTCTCTCATCATTGGTATTTCTACCTCTCTCTCCCTCTTCCTTCCCCTCCTAAATCAATAAAACTATTTTTTAAGAATAAAAATATAATATGATTAATCATCAGACTCGCCTGCCTCAACATTTTAATGAAACCCTGGAATATATATTATTATTTTTTGCTGTACCAAATCCAGAATTGATACACATATTCTAAAACAGCATCAGTAGCTCTTTTGCCAAATAACTTTGCAAGCAATCAGTTATTTTCTCCAGACATAGTTTTCATATCTGCAAAATGAATGTACACATCACTCTCTTTCCTACCTGACATGGAGAAAATAGAAATCAGAGAGAAAGCAGGAAAATAACTACAAATTCTCTTGGATAAAAAAGCACCATCCAATACCAAAAAATTATCATTACACAGAAAATCCAACAGTAAAATGCTGTCTGGCTCCATCAGAGGTTTGTGAAGGACGACGAAACCAATTGGTATGTAATGAGATCTCTAATTGTAGAAGTGTTCCACCCCATCAAGTATACAATAGACTCACCTTAATGAAATTCAAAATTCTATTCTGAATGTTTAGTGGCAAGGTGTATCTGGGTTGCAGCAGTTTAACTAGGCTATCTTTAACAAACTCCTTCTTCACAATCAGAGATTGGAAACTTGGACCACAGTTCTGCATGCACATGTCAATAAGCTAAATTAGAAGAAAAAAGTTAAATGGTAAATTTCTTTGGTACAACCACTTCCTAAATATGAGGTGAAAATTGCTAAGTAACAATTTCTACCAGCATCCTCATTAACAAACAGAATTTAGTGTCTACTAAAACATATGGCAAAATGTTAGGTTCCAGGGAATGCGACAAAGTATAAGGCATAATGTAACTGCTTAGAGCAGCGATTTTCAACCTTTTTTCATCTAATGGCACACATAAACTATCAAAATTCTGTGGAATACCAAAAAAGTATGTTTTTTTTGCCAATCTGACAAAAATAGGTATAATTTTCATTGATTTACGAAAAATAATAGTAATTACCTACCCTTTTTGCTACAAAGTGACTTTTAAAAAAATCAGGTGATTATACTTGTATCTAAGGATTTCTGGTACCAAGAATTAACCAATCAGATGTAAGCTTATTATGAGACATGACCAATAAGATGCAACTTTATTATATAACTTATATCCTTATGGTTCAAGACAGGGAATTCACACCAGATGGCTATTATTGTGTTGGCTGTTGTCATTTTTTTATTTGACAATCTAAGGGGAAAGCCCCCGCTGAACAGTCAGGTATTGCATGTTTTTAAAATGCTTGTGGCACACCAGTTGAAAAATCGCTGGCTTAGAGGACAGACTTTTTGGGGAGTCAGGACACATAGTAGGACCTTAATAAATGGTAACTATTTTTTAAATAATTGTGTTGAATTTATTGGAGTGACATTGGTTAATAAAATAACATAGGTTTGAAGTGTACACTTCTTTAATACTTCATCTATATATTGTATTGTGTATTCACCACCCAAACTCTTGTCTCCTTCCATGACCATTTATCCCCATCTTACCCTCTTCTACCTGCCCCCACCCCACCTTCCTTTCTGGTACTCACCATGATGCCTGTGTCTATGCGGGGGTTTTTTTGTTTTTGCTTTTCTTAATCCTATCACCTATTTCACCCAGCCCCCCAATCTTCCTAACAGCTGTCAGTCTGTTCTCTGTGTCCATGAGCCTGTTTCTATTTTGTTTGTTTAAATGGTAACTATGTTGATCCCCTGCTTCCATGCGTAATTTTCCATCAGGAGAGAATGTGCTGGTTAGCGGATAGAAGTATTCTTTTCCCAGAAGCTTGAAGAAAAAAAGCTACTTGGTAGTTTTAGTTCTCACAGTGACTAATCCAAGCACAGAAAACCAGGCTTTGGGGCCATCCAGAGCTGAAGAAGACCACCCCGAGGCCTGGCCACCCTAGGGGCTGAGCTCACTCTACAACAAACGCCTGGAGGAGTAAACCCATTTGGCACTTACCCTGAAGCCCCCAAAGCTCTCCACCCAGGGTGTGCTCCTCAAAGGCCTATGAATTAACTGGCTCCTAGGAATCCGTCCAACCACTTTCCATTTGACAACAATAGCATCTTGCTGAGACTTATTGACTCATCGGAGAAAAGGCTAGCCTCACAGTTATAAAGCCTGGTAACAAAATGCTCCCTTAAAAACAGAACGACTGGCTTCTTGACAAAACCGCTCCACCAACTGATGGTAGGAAATCACAGTCTCGTCATATCCCAGGGAAGACTAATCAAGGCTCAGAAGTCCATGGAGAACCCAAACGTTGGATGGTATCAGGAACATTTATGATTGACATCGACACTCTCTCTTCACTTCATAGTAATAAAATGGAAAGGTCATCTATGAGGATTCATTTTTAAAGAGTTTATTAGTAAACATCAAATTGCTTTTGATGCACATTAGATGCTACCTTCAGTGACTAATTCCTGTCACAATCAAGTCTGGCTTAACAATATCAAAGTCAGTCCCGAGGCCTTCAACACACCTCTGCAATGCAGTGAGTAGTCTGAGGTGAGGTGATTGGGCCACTAAATAGACATCTTGGGGAAATCTGCAAGAAGCTATCAGGAGACAAAGGCTAATGTAAAGGAAATGCAAGAAGCAGGTACCCTAGTGAACTCGGACCTTCACAAGGAGGGGCTGTCCTGCCCCCCAGTCTGTGACTCTCGCCCTTATTTTGGCACAGGTTTTAGATTCATTTGTTCTCAGGTACTGGAGTGGAAATCATGGGGTGGAGGAAGTACAGTTACCCAAGAGGGAACAGGCAATGGGAACAGGCAGCTAGCTGGGAGTAAGGCTTGAGAGCTCAGACGACCTGAAGGGAAGAAAGGGGAACCCAAGGCGAAATGGAGGGTCCGAAGGGTAAGAAGAAACAACACTGTGGAATAACCCAGCTTCCTCAGGGATGGGTCCCGGTTCATCCTCGGAAGGAAGGAACCACGATGGAGAGAGATATGGAGTTGGAGATAAGAAACAACCATAGACAGGTCAGGTAGGCTGGGTGCAATAGAGAAGAGACCGGCTCATTACAGAGGATAACCTTCTGTTATCCTCTGTATTAATTAATTAATAACCACATGCTGAAACCTTCTGTTATCCTCTGTATTAATTAATTAATAACCACATGCTGAAATATAGAAAGTGGCATAAATTCATCTTCTGACCTCACTTTCCTCACTCAAATTTCCTACCTTTGGCGGCCTGGAGCTATTCTAGATCCACTTCATTCCAAAACTACATGTGTTTCTCCCCGAATTCTACAGTCCCTTCTGTTAGCCCTTGAGTGTTCTTGACTACTAGGAGAGGTGGTATTGGGGGTGGTCACGAAACCATTAAGTCAACATCAGTAAGTGATACATGATAGATGGCCCTGTACCATGCATGAAGGACTTGAAAACATGAATGAAGTAAAATAGTCAACAGTCATGTAAAGTACAGCATAGGGAATACAGTCAATAATATTGTAATCACTATGCAGGACCCAGTGGGGCACTGGAAATATGGGGGGGAACACTGTAAAGTATGTGACTGTCTAACTACTAAGCTGTACATACACCTGGAACCAATACAAAATATTGGAAAAATATAAAACATTTGAGGAAATGAAAAAAATATATAGTAGTCCATTCTTTCAAGGGGCACGATTTGTCCTGAGAAACAAGATGGTATGGGCATGGGCATGGAATTTAGACTCTGAGGACATGCTACTTAAATCTTGCGGGGGGGGGGGGGGGGGGGGGCGGGGGGGGGGCGGGCAGAATCACTTAATCTCACTGGTCTCAGTTTGTTCATCTGTGAAATGGAGTTAATAGTACACCTATGTCACAGGGTTGTCCAGAGCATCAATCAGGTATCAGGCAAAGGCTTATTTCCATCATCGACCCATTGTACAGCTATTTCTACTGAAGTGCCTCCCTCCTCCCGAGTTCCCTCCATTCTGTGACCTCCCTGAGGTGGCTGCTATGGGTAAAGGACAAGGGAAAAGTAAAAAAGCAAAAAATGGAGAAAGAGGAAAATGCCTCTAAAACTACATTCAGTCCCAGCCCAGCCCGAGTGGCTCAGTTGACTGAGCGTTGTCCCATGCACTGAAAGGTTGCTGGTTTGATTCCTGTCAGGGCATATACTTGGGTTGTGGATTTGATTCCCAGTTGGGGAGCATATGGGAGGCAACCAATCAATGTTTCTCTTCTCTCTCTCTCTCTCTCTCTCTCTCTCTCTCTCTCTCTCTCTCTCTCTCTCCTTCCCTCCCTCCCCCTTCCTCTCTCTGAGCATGTCCTCAGGTGAGGATTAAAGAAAAAAGAAAAACGATATCAGCTCCTAACCAAAGAATTTCTTTAGTGAAAGCATCATTAAGACTTTTCTCATTCAGCTACTCTCCAGGTAAGCAAAACATGATATGTTTTCTTTCCCATGAAACCAGGAAATGGGAATTGTGCTCATGTCTGCCCCATGGCCCTCTAATCACCCCCAAAGCCCCTAAGAGCAGTGTGATGCTGGCTGATTAGTGCCACAACCATGCGTGGCCTGGGCTGGGCTGAGGTCCAAAGGCATGCAGAAGAAATCAGAAAGCCACACAGCTCACTCTCAGGCAGCAGGCAAGGCTTGCAAACATCCCGAAGGAAAAAGGGCAACTCACCGAAGTGACTGAAGAGGTCATATGGCCAAGGATGGGGGGGAAATGGTAACAGGTCACGTAAGTGTGCATACTCAATCCACAGACAATACGGTGCACAGGAGAATTACTTACATCAACAGAGAACTGTCTCCCCACTGTAACAAGCAGCAGAACTTGGCTGAATCTTAACGAACTGCCAGCACCTTGGAATTCCACAAAGGTGTTCAAGTGCAACACAAAGCTAACGGGGGAGCATTTTCCCAAGACGTTAATTCCCACCCTGGGTAACATATACACACACTTTTGATCAGCCCAGTACCTGTGAGTTTAACCACCAGTTCCCATCTCCTGACCAGAAAAATTGACTTTCCAGGAACAGTTTTTCCACAACATTAAATGCTATTACAATCAACTAAACTCTCTTGATTCTGCAACTCTCAATAAGCAGTTTTAATTCAAATTATAAATAACTTTTTGTTAACCTATTAATTAGCAAATTACAGCAAATTATATATATATATATATATATATATATATATGTATGTGTATTTTAACCCAGAATCAAAATGTGACGATAGCTTGGGAAATCCTAGAGTCTTAATGATAACATGAAAGTACTTACCGACAAAGTAAGTTCGATTTCTTTATGATTGTAGTTTTTGGAAATCCTTTTCTTCAAAGCTTTTACGGCATCCTTTGGCCTGCAGCAGCAAAGACAACGTAATCATCAATTAGGCATTGCCGAAAACCAGGAGTCTCTGCAAAGCAATGTGTGCTGTGAAAGGAGGGATGGCTACAGGGGAGACGGGGGCCTCGGCTCTGCGGTGTGAGCCTGGCAGCACTCCGCACACCTGTTTCCTCGTACATCTAACCTACCCCCTTGCGAGAATCTAATAAAAAATTTCCTATAGCACTGTTTACAATAAAAACTGGACACTTAAATATCCAGTAGTGTGGGATTGCATAGATAACTTGTGGTAATCCCTACTAAGAAATACTCTCTGGCTTTTCAAAATGTCTTATTAAATGGAATAATAATTAAGAAAAAAAAGAAGTGGATTATGAATCAATACTCTAAAACGTTAACTATAGTTTTATTTGGGCGGTGGAGTCATTTGTGAGTTTGATTTTATGTTTGTCTGCACTTTATAAATGTTCTCTGAGATTCATGCACCACTCGTGTAAATGTGTTTTTGAAAAATGGTTATTTAAAATTAAATTCACCAGTCACACACAAACAAAAAAAATTTTTACATAGGAGTATTATTTAGAAAGTGCTACATATGAAATGTATTCATACTCAGTTCCCTCTATCAATGTAGAACAAGTATACAGAAAATGTAATTTCCAAACAATGACGGTTTTCCTTTTGATTAAAACTATTAGTATTTCCTGAGCATCCTGTAGGCAGGGAATAAAGGAAGCATTACGACTCACTAGGTCAGCTTCTGATAGGCTACAATTCTGATACAAAAGGAAGAACTGTATTGTATTAAATAGAGAGTCAAAATTTACTTTGAGATGGTCCAAAGGTACAAACTTCCAGTGAGAAGATAAATAAGTCATGGGGGTATAATCTACAACATGGTGACTTTATCTACAGTTAGCAGTGCTGTATGGTACATTTGAAAGTTGCTGAGAGTAGACTGTAAATGTTCTCATCAGAAGGAAAAAAATTATTTTAGACCCATATGAGGTGAGGGATGTCAACTAAACTTACTGTGGTAATCATTTTGCATCAAAATAGGTAAGGCAAGTCATTATGCTGAACCCTGTAAGCTTACACAGTGCTATATGTCAATTATATCTCAATAAAACAGAAATAAATACAAGTCATTTTTACATATTACCTTCGGATTTGTTATGTTTGCATGGATAGATTTCTATTATATGATAATAATGGCATAATATTACATATGCTTATATGGAATTGTCACTATTATAAAATACATTATTATATGAATTTTTCTATATTTCTAAAAAATCCCACATAAAATCTAGAATTAAATTCTTAGAGAAGTTTAAAAGAATAAAGATACTATTTTATTTTATTTATTTATTTATTTACTTAATCCTCACCCAAGGATATTTTTCCATTGATTTTAGGGAGAGTGGAAGAGTGAGGAAAAGACAGAGAGAAACACTGATGTGAGAGAAACACAATGTTTGGTTGCCTCCTGCATGAGCGCTGACCAGGGCCCGGGCCGGGGAGGAGCCTGCAACAGAAGTATGTGCCCTTGACCAGAGTCTAACCTGGAACCCTTTGGTCCACAGGCCCTCACTCCACTGAGCCAAACCGGCTAGGGCAGAGATACTATTTTAAAAGGGGAAAAATTTTTGACTTTGAGATTCCCTTTTTGTATCATCAATGAAGAAATCAGTATTATCAAGAAAGGGTTCGCAGAGGAACCAAACATGGAAAACAAGATTGCAACGAAAGCACCATAAACACTTTATTAACAATAAGCACTTTCTACTGATACGGTCAATAATTTAGTGTAATGCTTTCTTCAACACACATTACACTAAATCGCTTTTGCTGTCACTTCTCACTTTAATATACACAGTAAAATGAACAAATTTCATCTCTCATAGCAATCTGTAATTCAGGCTAAATTCACAAAGTAGCTGGCCTTCTTAATTTTTTCACAACTTCAATTCTCTCATGTTTCAAAGTGTAACAAAAGATAGTACGTCAGTTGAAAAGACAGCATGAATATGGCAAGTTGGCCTTCGGAGAAAAAAAATCCATCTTGTGACAGGGAGAGGAAGAAAAGACTGCTAGATTATTTCCTGGTTACAATAATGACAATTGCCCGGGGACAGGTCACCCCAGGAGGCCACTAGCTTCTTGATAACATTTTTCAGTTATAGTAACATAAAATATCGGTAATCAGAGCAGGAGCAATTCCTAAAGAAGAAAACAATCTCTCTTTTTTTAAAAAGAATAATTATTTTTCTTAAAGAACAAGGAATTTGAACCAAAATTTGAAACTATTAAGGAAAGGGTGAAGAGGAGAAAAATGATAATGGATCCTCAGACACTGCACATGTTGAAACAAGCAGCTCTCCTAATATTTCAACCTGACCTGTCATCAAAAGGCAGTGGGCACCACCTAAGGGGGGTGGGGGGTTGAAAACACTCTTTCAACAAGAAAAGCAAAAGAGTTTGCAAGAGAAAGCACAGTCGCTCTGATGCCTCTTGGCAGAGGCAGAGGCAGAGGCAGGAGCCACACTCTGTACTCACCCATCGCTGGCGGTGTTGATTATGTCACAAATGTGCAAGAACTGGCCCCAGTCTTCAGTCTGCACGCCCGCAAACGTAGCCTTTTCTGCAAAGAAAAGACTGTTGTGTTGACTCTGAGCTACAACAGAATAAAAAATGGCTGGTCTTCCTGAATTCATCTGCCTGGGGTTTGTTAGCAAGTACCATTACGGTTACATTGCCAAAGGGCAAAGAGATTTTTTTCTTTTTCTGAGCAATCCCCAGTAATTGAGGAATCAATCAGAACTCAAGTTCAGAGTGCTGCTGTAGCCACAGTAATGAGTGACCTATTAATACAGGCTGCAGGCACAACGCCTGGCTGCCAGGCAAGGCCAGGACAGCGAAATCTCCGTCTGCCTGCCTGCTTTTCAGAGGACACCTCCCTAGCAGCCACCCAGAAGGAGAAGTGCCTAGAGCTAAGTATTTTAGCTTATGTAACTCCATTTAACCCCCTCTTAGAGAGGACGAAGCAGAAGTTCAGAGACGTTAAGAAAAGTCCACAAGGCTGCCCAGCCGGTACAACTAGTGTTCAGATCAAAGTTGTCTGATGCCACTTTTTGTTTCTTAAAATCATTCATTCAGCTGTCATGAAAAAGAGATCAGCGGCTCAGTGGTTGAGCCTCGACCTATAAACCAGGAGGTGACAGTTCCATTCTTGGTTGGGGCACACGCCCAGGTTGCAGGCTCCATCCCCCATGGGGGGCTTGGGCGGGGTGCAGGAGACAGCCAATCAGTGATTCTTTCTCATGATTATTGTTTCTATCTCTCTCTCCCTCTCCCTTCCTCTCTGAAATCAAGAAAAACATATTTAAAAAAAAGAAAAAGAGATCAGAACGACTAAAATTGTCTGTGTCCTTTAGCAGTAGAGCAAGGTCACCCCTAGTACTTGTACTATCCAAAGTTGTGCCAGGCCTACTTAAACATTCAGGTATTTTCCCCTCTCCAGACATCCTCCTTAAGAATACAAAATGCTGCCGAAACCGGTTTGGCTCAGTGGATAGAGCGTCGGCCTGCGGACTGAAAGGTCCCAGGTTCGATTCCGGTAAAGGGCATGTACCTGGGTTGCGGGCACATCTTCAGTAGGAGATGTGCAGGAGGCAGCTGATCGATGTTTCTCTCTCATCGATGTTTCTAACTCTCTATCTCTCTCCCTTCCTCTCTGTAAAAAATCAATAAAATATATTTAAAAAAAAAAAAAAGAATACAAAATGCTGTCTGGGAAGGGTAATGGGAAAACTCAACCCCAGAGCTTAACATCTTTCCTACAAGAAAGGAGAGAATCCCTCAGCATGAAAATACCAGGTCACAGAGGGAATGAAGAGAAAATGGAAAAGGATAACAGAGAGGAAGAAAGCATACAGGTTTGGCTGGGAATCTGCTTCTTGGGAAAAAGAACTTGAGTCTGGCATTCAGTGGACAAACCTGACCAATCTTGCCTTGTCTAGGCACATGCTATCATCATTCCTTCTGCCAGACTCCTTGCTCCTCATTCCAAGCTCTGTCTCCAAACTTCCTGGAAAACTCCTAGTCACCCTTCAAAAGCCATGGCAGATTTAATTTCTCCCTTTTCCTACATTTTGGGTGTTTTACATTTTTCTTGTATTTGTAAAGGTACCTACATTACAGCTACTACAAAATTTTGTCCATCTTCCCTACAAAAGTGTGCATTCCCTGAGGGTTGAGACCAGGTCTTGCCTTTGCCAAGCAGGTCCAAGCAGTCGGTAAGCATTTGCATCATTAAAATAACAGGTTTGTGAAGATGCAATCTGAATCCACTTCTGCTCTGAATCCATTTCTGCTCAGAGTTTATTTCCTATCCAATAGGGGTATATAGCCGGCAACAATTTAGAAATCATTTCCTCCTTTATAAAGACGTGGGAACTAAAGATCCGTGGGAACTAAAGATCCGGTTAAGGGGTGTGTTCCATGTCACACAGCAGCTAATGAAGCTGCAGCCCACACTCCCCAGATCAGATCGGAGCCTCCTCACCTCACTAAGTTCCTTGAGAGCATCATGTTTTGCTTGGCATCATAGGCACCAATGCCACACCTGCTTCCCAACGGAGGCATCAGGGAGAGGAGGGAGAAGGGAGCTGGGGCTGGCAGAACAGTCAGTCACTGGCTCCTGCGGACAGTATTCAGATACAGCCACAGGGGACACGAGTTAGGCAGATACCTGCTGGGCCCTGGTGCCTTGAGAGGCCTCTGGTGCCTCCAGATGGCTCCAGCGCTCCCCACTTCCTGCACTCCAGGTCTGAGCATTTGCAATCTCTTTGTTTACTGGGAAAAGGAACTCAGGTTGTCAGGGCTTGGCGCCAGGCAGAACAGGTTTGAAGAGACCTGCCTCTCAGGGAGGTTACATCACTTCACCTCCTTGACCCCTCTCCTCTGTCTTCCTCTGCAAAACGGTCAGAAGAATACTGTGCCTTCGCCAGAACGCCCTTTAGGACTAACCCTGGCAGAGAAGTTTAAGTCCTATCCTTGGAGAGGCCCAGACACTCCACACCTGAGTCCCACGTGGGGCTCACCTGTTCGGTCTCCTCCCCAGAAGGCGTGCACGGGGGTGGGGGTGGGGGGCAGATTTTGGAGGAGGGGGTTCTAGAAAGAGTCAGCCATACAGAAATGCCTCCAAGGGGACGGGTGGGATGCGAGTGCCCCGGGAAATCGCAGGGGGTGGGGAAGGATTTCCTCCAACTTGGACCAACTCTGTCCTCCGCAGGCCTAGAAGGGAGTCAAACGGAAAGGGTCCCCCGATCCCCACAGCCTTCCCCGGGCGTCTGCCCCCGCGCCCCTTTACCTATAAGGTGGCCCACGGAGGTCGCAAACGGATCCCGGTGACTCTTTCCAAACGCCATGGTAGCCCGACCGAGCGGGGCCCAGGAAAGGCGCCTCCCTGTTCTCGGGCTCCACCCGCTCGGTGTCCCTGGCTCCTCCTCTCCGCCCGATCGCTTCCCGGGCTCCGGGCGGAGGCTGAGCGTCCAGCCCGGCCGCTGCGGGGCGCCCGGCACCAGGCGAGGAGCGGGGGGCGGGGACGCGAGGGCGGGGCTCCCGGGCGCCGCGCACCTGCTGCGCGCCCCGCGGGACTGGGGAGCGGGCGGCGCTGCGGGTCCAGGTGGGACCGGCTGGGCGGCGGCCCCCGCGTGGAGCCCGCGGCAGGGACACGGGGCGCCCGCTCCCGACCCAGGTGGGCTTCTCGCCGGGGGCCCCGGAGCCACAGGCTGGGAATGAGAGATCCCAGCTCGGATCCCGCCGCCTGCTGGGCAAATTGCTGCTTTTTCGCTGCGCCCCTCGCTCCGCTTTGTAGCGAGGGAAATACGGGGTTAAGAACACACATCTCAGGATGATTATGAGAATTAGGGACGTAAACCGCTTGGGTCTGTGTCTGGCACCCACAAAATACATATTTAACCGCTGAGTAAATAGAGTGACTATAAATATTTACTCCCACCCCCACCCTCGCCCCAGAGATCCTGGAGGGGAGGTGTGTCCCTGGGCCTTTAAAGCTGCAGGTGATGGGTTGGCTTTGAGTTTAGGGGCCTTCCAGGAGACCACGTCCTTTGTCTCGCTCTTATTTCCTGAGGGACCACAGGGCGCCACTCAGCAAGCTCTCGGTTCCTAACCCTCCCTCCTGGGAGCCCTGTGTTCCAGCCTTGATGAGGGGGAGGGCAGGGGAGGGGAGGGGAGGAGAGGGGCTTTCCTGGTGCTCAGGCCTGGAGTGTGTTTGGCCTCAGCAATGTTCTGGAATGTAAACCCCGGTTTAAGTAGTTCAACTCCTTTCCAGCTGCCCCTTTAGAAGGGGAATTTATTTCCTTTTCCTGTGCATTCAATAACTTCTGATTCCCTGATGTTAATTTCCAGTGAGGCCAGAGCCTGCTAGGGAGTGGGGTATCTCCAGGTGACGGCAATAAGCCACTGGATGGGACCCCCCCCTCTCCGCTCCCCGCCCCCGTTTCCCCCACCCCCACCCCAGCCTTTAGCTAGCTCTTGCTTCCTGATGTCAGCTTGGGCCAAGTTCTACTAGCCTTTCCTTGGCCCTGGGAATGAGGACAAGAGAGATCCAAGTGTGCTTGGTAGACTTAGGTCCTTCGTCTTATATATTTTAAAATAAAAGTCAAAATCAATTGCCATATGCACCAAGGGGCTAACTTTTTCTTTTCTTTCTAATTCTTTTATTTCTCATTTTTCTTGTTCTAAGTGAGCTAATACCTGGGATTCTAAAATCTCGAATAAAACATTTTTTTGTTGTGATGGTTTTTCTCTTAATAGGATTGGTCCTACCTGTAGCTGATATTCTCTCCACCTGCTTACCCTGGGTGAGTAGCTAATTCAGATGGTGTTATTTTACAGATTAGGAAACCCACAGTAAATACTTATTTACACAGTCACCTTGCTAGTGAAGGAGTGTCTGATTCCAGAAGCTGTGACTTTGACCTTTAAACTGCATTTCTCATGGGGAGAGCCCTAGATAGTAGGCGGCACCCTTGACTACTTCACACTTTTAAATAAGTGGGTTCCAGGGCATGTGCCGGAGAATGAGGTGGCTGAACATGGCAAATACCCATGTCTAGAAGACAAAGTTGACCCATCACCAAGCTCTATGCAGCGAAGAGTCATTTTTATCCTCTCATTTAATTCTGCTCTCACCACTGAATTTCTTCAGTTGTCAGATCTGGGCATGATCTTAGAAATCAAAATTTCTAACTCCATCATTTTATAGATGAAAAAAAAAATGACAGCCAGAGAAAGCCGTTCAGCTCCAGGCTAGAAGAATGCAACATAATAGTTTAACCCTGAGTCCCAAACTCTTCCCCCCAAAGGCAACTCCTCTCTATTTTAATACTTAAATGTGTTTCTCCAACCTTCCCCATAGTATTTTCTTTGGCCCTCTCTTAATCCGTCTCATTTTTCAATGGTTCCAGGTCCAAATACCACCCTCTCTGTCTCCCCCAGGTATCCCACTCTGCCGGAAGCCGGTCCATCCTTGCTGCTTGACACAGTCGCTGCAGGAAAGAAACATCTGCACAGCCTATGTTTCAAGGGACCTGGCGTATATAGCATACTGTTCTTAATATGTTTGCTCCCCTTAGCGCTGTGTGTTTTAACCAAGGTCACCTCTCCGAGAAAGGTTGTTTCCCCAGGTAGGAATTTTTCCCTGAAGTCAGGGAGGGGATGCCTCTCCTAGAAAGGTTGTTTCCCCAGGTAGGAATTTTTCCCTGAAGTCAGGGAGGGGATGAAACTCCTTAACTAAGTGCCAGGCGGGCAGTTAATCACTACAAACAATCATGCTTAAGCTACATAATCTTTACTCCCTGGAATGGAGATAAGAAACGCCCTAACCTTTGTAATAGAAATTGACAGGATTAAAATCAACTGGTATAAATACGGATGTAACAAGACAATAAACAGCAGAACTTCGCTGGAGATCCAGACCAGAACTTGGCTGGAGATCCTGGCTAGAGATCCTGGCTAGGCTGCTGATCAACTGAACGCTGTCTCCGTGTCCTTCCTTCTTCGCCGACTCCGTCCACACCTTTGGGGACCCCTGGACCCGCTGGGGCTGGACCCCGGCACCACTCTGGAAACTAATTTCCGTATCCATGTGATCATCAAATCTAACAGTCATTTCTCAGCCTCACTTTGCCCTCTCTGTAGTATATTATGCCCCTCCCATTAGCCATTCTTTCCTCCATCACCTTTCAGGGTACTTTATCCTACATTCCCATTTCCTCCCTGGCCTACTAAACCTAAGTAAGCTACTCCACAGTTCTCAAGTCTATCTTTTCCTCTTTCTCCAATTCCCTCAGAGTTCCTTCTTCTTGTCCCTTCTCTATGAAGTCTTTTCCTGCCACTCCCAAGAGAATTGAGCCCTCCTCTCTTGTTTTACATACAGATCTCTGTCTTAGAGCTCACAACACTTTATATTACTTCTTTGTTTAGAAGACTGTTGGACTTGTATCCAGACACTTAATAAGCCTTAAAGGATGTTTATTGAATGAATGAATGATTGAATGAATGGCTCTCCAAAACATTGAGATGCTCTATCCTTTTTGAGATCCAGTTTTTAATTCCCTCCTCGATGCCTTATTGGAACCCTGACCTCTATATAGCTAGAGTTACTATACTCATCACCTCCCTCCACCATCTCAATATCCTACCTAACTTTCTTGTTTTGACCAATAAGGTTATTGATGTACTAGAGGCCCTGTGCACGGATTCATGCACTGGTGGGGGTTTGGCCTGCGGGGATTGGTCTGTTGCAGGAGCAGCTGCTCATCCTGGTCAGTCGAGCGGCTGTGGACCCGTCCTCTGAGCAGCTGGCTCCTGCTGTGGGAGTGCCGCTCATCCTGGTCAGCTGAGCAACGCTCCCACTGTGGGAGCACACTGACCACCAGGGGCAGCTCCTGCATTGAGCGTCTGCCCCCTGGTGGTCAGTGCGGGTCATAGCGATTGGTTGAGTAGTTGTTTTGGTTGTTCCGCTGTTCGGTCGCTGGGCTTTTGTTATATAGGATTGGAATCACATGGGTTGCTGTAAAAAATACTGATACCTGGATCACATCTTCAAAGATTCTGATTAAAGGAGCCTGGGTTGCATGAAGAGCATCAAGATTTGGTACCATAGTTTGCCAAATAAAAAATCTTGTTGTTATCCCCAAGTCTTTTCTTTCAGTCAGTTTTGGATTCTCCTGTGTTCTTTTTCTCTCTGTCTCCTTGCCTGTTTCCCTCTGTGGACACTGCTCATTCCAGCAGTTCTTTTTTTTTTTTTTTTAAATATATTTTATTGATTTTTTACAGAGAGGAAAGGAGAGAGATAGAGAGTTAGAAACATCGATGAGAGAGAAACATCGATCAGCTGCCTCCTGCACATCTCCTACTGGGGATGTGCCCGCAACCCAGGTACATGCCCTTGACCGGAATCGAACCTGGGACCTTTCAGTCCACAGGCCGACGCTCTATCCACTGAGCCAAACCGGTTTTGGCCCAGCAGTTCTTAAATATCATAAGCCTTAATACTGCCAAAGGGTGAAATTGGACTAAAGCTTGAGTTCTCTGGAACATAATTAAGACCCTAAATCTAAAGATATATTATCTTTAAAACTGACCCTCTTTTTAAAAAAATCCTCAACTGAGGATATTTTTTCCATTGATTTTTTAAAAAGAGTAGGGGAAAGAAGGAGAGGGAGGGGGAGAGAGAGACATCGAGGTACAAGAGACACACCAATTGGCTGCCTCCAGCACGCAGCCTGACTGGGCCAGGAATCGAACCCACTACCCTTCAGTTGCAAGGGGAATGCTCTAACCACTGAGCAACTGACCAGGACATAAAACTGACCCTCTTTTACACAATAATTTTACCCATTATTTTTGAAAACCATTATGTACAAAGATATATGTTGACTTTATTTCCAGTTATTTTTTAATATATTAAATCTTGGCTATCCCCTATTCTGGAAATTGTAAGCTCAGCCTTCCCTCTCTTTTTGCTCTTGGGATCACCTCTATCAGGTTCACACGAGAGCTCCTCTTCTCTCCCCTACTCCCACTTCAAGGACTGTTTGGTTCCATTTTTATAGGCTTTCACTAAACTCAGAGACCCAAGATGAGAGAGGACAAGGCACAGTACTAGTAGGCACTATACAGAGTGCTTTGGTTATAAACTAAGAATATTTACCCCCCCCCTTTTAAATATATTTTTATTGATTTCAGAGAGGGAGGGAAAGGGGGAGCTAGAAACATCAATGATGAGAGGGAATCATTGATTGGCTGCCTCCTGCACGTCCCCTACTGGGGACCAAGCCTGCAACCCTGGCATGTGCCCTTAACCAGAATCAAACCCAGGATCCTTGAGTCCACAGGCCAACGCTCTATACACTGAGCCAAACCAGCTGAGACATTATTCCCCTCTTAATA